CAAGGAGTAACATGTTTCCACAGTCAAGATTTTACACGATTTAACATTAATTTCTTATGATAAAAAGTGTATTTAGAATTATACAACAGAACTTTATTTAATATAAATTATACTGTAGAACTGTTTAGAAAAAGTACTGTGAAATTACAGCAATTAGTTCCAAAATTTAGTGGAAATTCACACCTTTGAGTGCAGTGAACAGCTCGGTGTTTATATAAGGACAGATTGTGAAGCGATCAGGCTTGTTTTGAGACAGTCAGAGAGACAAAAATCCACCTCTGTGATCAGAGAGTAACATTCTGTCCTGTTGTAAATAGGTAGCCCAATTTTGTGTGAGGGAACTGAATTGGGTCTATCATTAGGACCACTGGTCATGACTCACTGAAAGAAATAGAGAGCTAAAGATATTAAGGTCTAGACAGACATTGTTATCTGAATAGCTGCTGTAAGACACACAATATGAGCAAGGCTATTTTAAAAATTTTAGACAAAGTCCAAGAGAGAATGAAAGTGCTGTGTTGCAATCGGATCAAAAGATGTATTGAAAAGGTTTAATTCAATGAACAGATTTGTTATAAATCAGACTTCGCTATATTTCTCGCTTGAACTCATAAATATATAACTCATAAATAGTTTTAATGAATAACAACTTAAACTGGTCTGTTGCACAAATCATGGCTTAGATATCTTGGAATATAGCAGTTTTATTATGACTTTTATGTCACACGCACCATTATTTGTGACATTTTAAAGTGAACATTTATTTCAACGTAAAACCTACACCATTTGTCCCAGTGCAGTCACCTCCATCATACTGGAAGGAATGGACAGGGCAATCTTCAAAAATTCACCTGTCGTGTTCCACAGAAGAAAATAAATTCAGGTTTGAAATGATATGAGGGTGAGCAAATAATGAAAGAATTTCATTTTCGGATTAACTTTTCGGTTTCTTTAAGAATTAGTTCACAGAATTCATTAGAAAACTATGTTTTTTTTCCAATGACAATGACAGTTTACATCTTTTTAAAAATTGCAGGTGGATTCAGTATGCATCTGAAGACAATTTATACATCAGTTCAGAATAAACAAAAGGATTGTCATCACAGCCTCAAGGACGTGAGCAGGTTTGTTTACTACAGCTTTCGCATTTACCTAAGGGGGTATAATTGAACACAAGCTATTTCATAATTAAAGCTATTTTTATTAAACCCTTGAAACACTCCAACTTGCATAAACGCATGGAATCTAAAGGGAAATAACCAGTGGGGATTTATATCTAGTAATTATCTCTTACCTTAAGGATACTGTTTCACATCACGTGACTGTTTAAATTCAAGGTCCAATGTGTTTTTCTGACCATAACGCTTGATGATGCTGTTAATGAAAACAAACCAGTCCCACAAGTGATTATCAAACAGCAAGTTGTAGCCTGAAGGCAAATCAAGTTTATTCAGGAAAACGACCCTTTCTAACCCATTCCTCACGATGTATAGCTTTGAAAACAGTGCTCCCAAAGGGCAAACGGAAGGAACCGGGAGGAATGGAAAATTGCGATCATCCTATTCAGGGGTCTCTCAGCATCCACTTACCCACGGTCATTATTGCAAACCTGCACACCATCTACCAAGAAATAACAACAAACACAAGCACAGATGGAGTACTGTGCTTACTCAGGGTAATTCAGTTCATTTTGGGAGCAAGCAAATTGCTTGGTATATGCATTTATGCCTGTGTGTGTTGGTTTGTTTGTGCTACATCCTGTTCTTTAGTTGGTTTTTGACATTTACTTGCAGGGTAGCTTGTTTCCACAAGACGCATTACTTTATTCGCATGGTGCATTAACACATTTAGTACAACAGCACTACAGTCACAGTTTAATATTTAGGACACAGAAGACTGTTGAAAATATCCTCAGAATTAGTGCGTTTTATATAAGAGATTAGAAGGCAGGATCTGTGTTGTTTCTTCGGAACGATGAGTCAGAACATCCATTACTTCAGTAAACACTTTTGTCTTTTCTGCCTCTCTCTATCTATCATTTTCTCTTTGAACGCTGAAGATGCGGTACCTGCTATAAAATACGATGTGTGGGCGTTTCGGTTTCTACAGTTCAGGATTTAGTCAATTTTGCAGAATGGGATTTTTGTTAATACCCATGTAAAGTGCAGGCTGTTCCCTTAATTGACTATGGCATGATTAAAAAAATGAAAACAATACGGCCGGCATGGCAACAGCTCATGATGAAGGACACAAGAGCTTTAATAAAAAGCTACTCATGTTGTTTACCCAATAATAAGTTGATTCAGGTTACTTTTCCATTATTTGGCCATGAACTGGATGCTGCTGCTTATTAAAATTAAAATTAAAAATTAAATGGATTTTAGGTGGCACAAAATCTACTGAACACTGTCTGTTTTAAAATCAGGTTTAAATAACTATCAGACTACTTTGATTGCTATGGGAAAGTGTGTGTCACCAAGAAACCATAATCATTATACAAAGATGAGAAAGATTGACGGTTTGGATAGTGACTCTAATGTCACAATTTTCGAAAGCCATCTCCAATTTTAGGTAGCAATAACTCGACAAATAGAGACAAGAAATCAAATGCAGCAAAAGTGTGACAGGCTGTTTTGATAATGCTATTCAATTCAGCCCCAAAGCCATTTTACATTTTAATGTGTTTAGATTGAAATGAGAGAGACAGAGCCAACACAGGTAAACACAGATGTGGGGAATGAATCTCTAATTTAAGGAGCAGATTTAAGGAGGCAGCATTCATTAATACATTAAAAAACAATACAAAAACACAGCTGTTCGCATACCACCTAGCTTCATCGTCATCATCACTGCGATCGCCCTAATCACTATTGTGTGCTTGCTGTTGGTCAGAAAGTGAAGTATTTAGGCGGTGTTTAGCGTTTGTGAGGTTCTTGTGTGGGCGACAACGCTGATTGAGGCTGAATGCTCCTTCACTGCTGTTTGCAACAGCGCGGTGGGAGGCGAAATGTCTCAAAATGTCAACTTTAAAATTCCCAGGGAATCTGACACCCACTGCGGTCTGTAATCCAGGTTATTACCAGCCTTCACTCCCCCATATGTGAATCATTTTCTCTTTTGGCATCAGTACAAATGAGTGGAATTGAATACAAAGCTAAATAAAATATTGCAGTGCAGAAGGGCAGAGAGGACGGTCAAATCGTAAATATGATACATCACCACTGTGTGCATTGTAAATTCTGCTGCAATATGCTACTTTACCAGTAGCATTTCAGATCAAGTTGGCTTTAAAAATGCAGGGAAGTTTTCAGCGTTAACTGATATAGCCTTAATAATCTTATGACATGTATTAATGGTAATTTCAAAATCACGTCCACCTACTTAACACTTGATGTATTTTGTTTGCATACACACGCAAGATTAGATAAACAAAATGGATTTTCTTTCTTGTCACATCAAGGCACAAAAGGCAGTGTGACTTATCTACCAGTCAGTGCTTCACTTTTTTTTCCTTGGATAAAGCTTCACCCACTTCACTATTTGTTCTCGGGTTGCATCAAATAAATGAAAAACTTTTCTTCTGTAGCTACAGAGACCCACGGACACCCACTGTTTGTTTCCTGACTGTATGATGCAAACAAATCTGGCAAGCCATACCCAAAGATCAGCAGCTTCAATCAAATTGGCTGGAAATTGGAGAGTGAAGTTATGTTTACAAGGCATTGAACTGATGCAATAAGCCTGTTTTAAGGGAAAACTAATCACTGAATTTAACAAGGCATGACAAGCATGCTATATATCGGAAATATTTCAGCCCCTGCTGGCAGATACTAGAAGCACATCATTTGAAACCAAACAGCATCTTTCTCTATCGATGGCCATTCAAATTGATTTGTATTCTGACTTCACATTTTTACTGAATTAACATTTGTTGATCTCACTGTGTTTGAGATTTGTGTGTTGAGTTATATGCATCTCATTGCGACTCTTAAACCAAACAGCATCTTTCTCTATCGATGGCCATTCAAATTGATTTGTATTCTGACTTCACATTTTTACTGAATTAACAGTTGTTGATCTCACTGTGTTTGAGATTTGTGTGTTGAGTTATATGCATCTCATTGCGACTCTGGGGTTTAATATATTTAATATATCAGGCAAATATGTTTGCCTCTAATTTTAAGAGGGGATTATGCCATGTCATATAGTGGGCACATAGTGATGAAAGAGTAGCTCCTAGCATTGCTAAATACTAAAAAATCTTTAACTGCCTTGACAATAATTTGTGAGTGTATTAGATGGACAAAACATTTTTTTTTCTTTCAGTTGCTATACTGAAAGCAATTTTCACTCAGAATTTGCTAGTAAATTTCACAAATAATTACAAAGAAACAAAGCCACGTATGCGGATATACAGTTTACCAAATGATAATTTTTCCCTATAGGTATTATAGACCTGAATAAGCTAAATTAACTATTAATACAGTATGCTCTAATTGGGAATATATCTTAACTCACACAGTAGCAGGTTTGACCTGTTTTAATACATCAAACCCTGGATTTGGTGGCTTAGATGGTTTCACTATCATTGCACCCAACAATTAACCTGCTAACTGAAACCCGAAGCACATCTGTACCCCTTCAACAGCACTTATCACGCTCTCGGGGTAAACATATCGGCCACACTTTCTGAAATCACGCTTGGTCAGGAAAACGCATGCAGAGTCGCATCAGACAGCTTCAAGGACGAATCGAGGTGAGGCCGAGCAAACGGAGGCTTAATCATTCAATCATACCGTGCCGTAACACTAAAAGCATTGCACCGCATCCTATATACACAACCTTCCATGCATGTCCCATTTGTATGCGACAAGTCATTTGCATCAAGGCAAGGTGCTTTAAATAAACTCATCCCCCAGCGCTGGGATTACAGAAGCATATAACGGGAATATGTAGCAGGACACCCGCCCACGACAGCCACACTCGTTAAAAATGGATCGCTCAGAACATGGGACGCTTCAGATGGGAGCTCTCCATGTGATTCAGTGAGTGCCTTTATCAGCGGCAGCTGCAGTTCCCCTCACAGACACTCACACTGCCTCTCTGAGCACGAGAAACAAGGACGTCCTTCTTTTGCCTGGAAACCAGAGATGTTAGGAACGAGCAGTTAAAGCCTTGCTGTATCAGTACTACTCAACTTTAATTTCTGAGGAGTTAATCAGCTTGTCGAGACATTTGAAATTGCCGTGCAGGTAATTATGATGTTTATGTGAGTGTGTGTGGATGGAACGCGAGCGTTTGGCTTTTGCTCTATGTGGGATGGAGCGGGAGCTGTCCGCCAGCAATGGTGCTGAAATCAGCCTAAATGAACGAGGAAGTGATTTTGTCTTCGGCACGCATCGGGAACGGGAGTAAATACTAAAGCGGGTTTTAACACATTTATAGGCGTAAGAAGATACTAGGAGCACAGTAGCGTACGAGATTCACCCGGACTCATTCATCAGCCAACGTTTCGGTGCATTCGGACTATAAGCGTGTGGGTTTGATTCGGATGGATGAGGGAAAGTTTACACACAAACTAAGGAATCCAGTCATGCGTTGTATTGTAATATCCTTTATTCTAAGATTTACATTCTTAAACTCTAACAATCATCATAATTCGTATTTTTCTCAAATGTTATTTGATATTTAGGTTGCAATGTAATGTTGCCATTCTTCAGGAGAAGAGCAAACGCTCCCTGCAGATTTACTTCAAATGTACACGATGTATGATTGTCCCAGAGCTTGTTATTTTTTTCCTTGTGAAGGTTAAGTTACATGCAGGCACCGATAAGCCACTAACGGGAGCCCGTCGTAATTTTACAACTCTGCACTTTGTGTGAACTGTATGCGAGGTATATTGACCTTTACTGTCCTTCATATGTCGCATCTTGTGAAATGATTGGCTGGATAGTATTGTGTATGCCATACAGTCATTATTATTATAGTCTTTAGTAATGTTTTATCATACAACCTAAAATGCCTTCATCTGTGACACCTATAATAAATGGTTTTGATCCAGTCAAACACATTATTTAATATAACAAAATCACACACATACTCAAATGAAAATTTTAAGGGTCAAGTCAGGTAGAAATAGCCCCTTAGGGAAAAAACTGCTCACATCCACATTTTAATTTTTTTTTTTAAGGTTTATAGCTGTTTATACAAACTAAGTTTTTGCTATTAAGTAATTGTCTGTTTCACATTGTAGACCTGGCGACAAGGGACTACTTGAAAAGCTCAACCTGAATGTAATATTTGGTTGAAGAAGGCAGGAATAAAAAGCCATCATCATGAATTTTGTTATGAAGCAAGCATTGGGAGGTAAGTTTCAGATTGTCCCGTTTCTCCAAACATGACATACACACAGAATATTCTCAGAGCAGAAACTATACACTCATGCAGTAAACTTGCGCAGAAATACCATTATGCTCAATCTGCTTATATATTACCTTTCTCTTGGCTTGTAAGCCATGCACTGCTCTTTATTTGCATGCACATGGAAAATGAACCAAGTGTTGCTTTTTTGTCTTTGGAGTAGTGTTTTCTTATCTGTCTTAGTCTTGCATAGCTTATCTTTTAAGTCAAACAATGAGGTTTAAGATAATATTGTGATGGATTAGAAAGCACTTGATCTGTTGGACTGGTAGATAGAGGTCATGAGTCTTTGCGCATTTCAAAATCTGCCGCAGTTCCCTGTTGTTTTCATGACAAAAGGGTTTGTTTTCTAGTCGGAAGACAATTCAGATGTTTTTCTCTATTGTATTTACTATAACTTTTAAATGATCCTTTTGTTCATTATTATTTTTTCCATTTTAATTATTTTTGAAAGGCACATTTTATATCCAGACACACCAGAATTACTGACTATTGACAATGTGCTCTGCCGAGCTTAATCGAAATAATAATAATTCCATGAATATTGGCATAAATAAATATGTCCAAACAGAACTGCATCTTAATGTGGTTCATTAATCTCCTTTGCATTCGTAATGAGGATTTTATCTATCTCACTCTGTGCGGACTTCCGCTCGTCAGAGCACTTAGCCCCATCAAGACTGAGATTGACAGTCCAGTCCCGAGGGATGTCACGAGAGCAGGACTGCGGCAGTTGATTAGCAGGGATGTGCTATAAAAAGGTGGCGTATGACCTGTTTCATTAACCAGCTGCTGGGTAAAGCAGCCCATGAGGGTCCTGCCCTATAGTCCACTTGCTCCATCGATAAAGAAAATGAGTGAAATCCACTGAGCTGTACGGAAAGGGATTTCACCCTTGAGAAGCGAGAGTGGTCCCCAGCTTCATGTTTACTACCAACTTTCCTCTCTCGTCCTATCATGTCCTTTTCTAAGAGTAACAGCGCATATCTAAGATAAATCGACCTGGCTTCAGATGTTTTTGGCTTATTATATTTTAAAGATTTCAAGTCGCCTACAACTAGATTTGCATTTCCTGCAAGAATTACCAGTGCTTGCAAGGCAGCAAGAGAATAAGTTTCAGGTAAGCTTAGTTTCAGGCTTCAGTTCTGCGCAAATGATGATGACTGTCATGGTGCGTCTTGTTTTCAGTTGGCTGCACACAAGAATCAGCTATAAATGGTTAAAGTGTCCATATTATGCAAGTTCATAAATTTATTTTTGGGGTCTGCTAGAATACATTTACATGATTTAAAGTTCAAAAACACATTGTTTTTCTCATACTATACACCCTCTGCCTGCCCGAAAAACCTGTGCCTTTAAAACCCATCTTTCAAAAGAGCCCAGACTGTTCTGATTGGTCAGCCACTTAGAGTGTATGTCGGAAATGTAATGCCCCTTACCATATTTGGGTTTCAGCTCCCGAGGCTTCATGAACAGTTGTAAATGCTTCATTTCATAATTGATGAATTTTGCAATATTGAATCAACTGTGAATCGACTTGAGCTGAATAATGGCATTATTGTATATAGCTGAATTAAGCTTGTTTCATTAATACATTTTATACAGTTATTGAACAGAACTGAATCAACAATTAACTGAACTGAGCTGAATAATGACACTGTAGTCTCCGTCAAGTGATCTGTGATATTTTTCAGTTCATCTCAATGGATGTGCAGCGCACCTGTGTTTGTGTATTTGGCGTACCGTAAACTCTAGTGTGAAGGCGCACGACTCGCCGTTGCTTTCTCTCACACGCGCAAAGGGTCTTACATAACATGCAGAATTGATGCGCTACATGTAAACAATATTCTTTTTTGTATTGTCCTGTCAAAATAACAGAGTTCCTTTGGAATTCTTCAGCTTTTAAGAACTGCCGGGTTTTTCGGTATAGTGGGCGGAACTAATGCGCAAACAACAATCTCATTGGCTGGTGCTCACCTATATAAAGGTGAACTGACTTGGCTTAAATAGTATTATATCTTTGGTAACTGTGTTGTCAATATTAGAAGTATATATACTATTTTTTTAGCCCACCCTATGAAAAAAAAAAAAAAAAAGGGTTTCCTCAGTATGGAAAAATCACTTACTCACCTGCTTTTTAAGG